TAGCCCTAAAAAAACTTAAGGATCGTTCTGACAATATGTTCTAAACTTGTACTTTTATATTAAAAGATTGACAATCGTCTGAGTTGGACGTTAACCTATTGATTAGGATATGATAAAATTATATTTTTATGATGTTTACTGGCATTGCCATTGCTTTTAATAACTGACTCGAGACATAATGTTTCAACCACTGACTCAACGACATAATATAAATTAAGAGTTGATACACAAAATACAACTCAAATGGTTCTAGGATCAGATTTTGTCATATCTCAGTCAACAGATTAACTTTCAGCTAAGACAATCGCCAAAATTTTAATGAAAATGGACAAGTTTGGAACATATGTATAGCCATGTGATCATTTTATAACTTTTAATAGTCGAAGGACCCAATAACGTAATACCATATTGTTGAGAGACTATTTTATAGTCAATGAACTCAACAAAGTAACATTAAGATACCATTTATATACTTTAGTCTAAATAGTATTGTTTTAACTTATCAATAAATGTGATTTTTTTGGCTAAAACAGTAAGTAATAGAATAAAAAAACTAGACGTTAGCAGGTCTTTCTGCAGAATATCATGCATCTCCCTTGTGGCTCCAGAAACTCGATAACTCTAATAGCTTTTCCACCGCTCAATCTAGCTAAATAATCTGCAGCAGCATTTTTTCCCGGCAAACACACCGACACTCTGTAATCTAATCGCGATCTCAAAGCTCATGGATAGCATCCACCAAAACACTCCCCAATAACGCCTCGGAATTACAGTGCCAAAATTTTGTAGCTTCCATAATATCTGTTTTCAACTCCACACGACGGAATCCTAGCTTCCAAGCATTTAGAGGATGCTACATCCATTTCTTGATCAAATTTGAGCTTTGAAAGAGTGTCTCTTTCTCTTCTTCATTGAATTGTGTATTTTGCTCTTGCAGCATTTCATGAAGGATTTGGTAGGAATGTTGTGCTGTTGGGGTATCCACCTGGTTACGATAGAGATAGTGATGGATCGAGAGGATGGTGGGAACAGTCGTCTTTCTGAAAATTTAAAATTATCATATATTTTAAATTTTTTTATGTGTTTTCTATTGAAAATCTGTTATCATTTCTCTGAAATTTTATAAGTTATCTCTTCCTAAAATTTTAGAAGTTTGTCCCCTAACATAAAATTATGTGTATTTCCTCCATCGTAGAGGATTTTTTGATGTTGGATTAATGTTAATACCTACCGACAATCCCCTTTAGTTGGAAAATGGCTTTTTCTTTTTCATTGTTGTGTCGTATTTTGGGTTGAAATTTAATTGATCTAAATTTTATTTATTTTTATTGCTTATCTTCTACCGTCGATAGTTAAGTTTGTTTGTATTTATTATTTTTTTTGAATTGTTTAGTTGAAATTTTAATTTTTATATGATTTTATTCTTTAATGATTAATTTGTATATTTTGATAAAAAATTAAAAAGTGATTGATTAATTTACCATATGAAACCCAATAAAGAATAATATCAACTTGCGATAACTATTAAACTTAACAAATGTTGCATGAATTTCACAAACAAATAAATAAAGACAGAGTCAATAGTTAGGAAAAAGTATATTAAATTGACAAATTTTAAAAAAGTATATTTGGAAATTATTAAACTTTTTATATTTGTTAATTATAAATAAAGAGAGATTCCCTAAATATAATTTGTCTAGCGTGCAAATAATTATTTTGACTAACATAATTTTTTTTTTAATATTGGGTCTATATCTTTTATAAAATTTATAAAATATTAGTGTTCTATAATTAGGGTGTTTGGATTGGGTTATGTATAATATCATATACTTATATCAATTCTAATTATAATATGATATTATATGGGTAAACTATCGGAATAGTCATTTAGATTTGAGTTGATACTGTTTTGACCATCAAACTAATTTTTTTAATTAGACTCCTCAACTATTAAAATGCTATCAATCAAGCCGCCATTCATTAACAATTAACAGAATTATTGATATATGGTTGATTCGTCTTGGTATTGTATGGTTAGTGTATGTTTGGCTTTGTTTTCATTTGCCATGGTGCACTCTTTTTCCTCTATTTAGATTTAGAGAGTTTTTTAATTATGTCAATGGCTTCACTCGGTTTTGTATGATTATTTATCTATTTAATATCATACAAACTACCCCTTCCAAAAAAAAAAGAATTATTGATGTGATAGTTAAAATTTTGTGTAATTGCTCTTACGCATTCTATCAATTTAGTCGTAATTTATTTAATTAACTTAAAATTAGAACCTAACTAATAAAATATATAAATAATGAGGATTAAATATGAAATTATACTAAATTTTTAAATATCACCTCAACAATTCTATTAACGACTGGTAGCTTGATTGATAGCATTAATAGTTTAGTGATCTAATTGTTTGATGATTATAATAGAATTAACCCAATAAAATTTATTAACTACTAAGATAGTTTACCCTAAAATAATTAGTTGTAAAAAGACATAATTTTGAGTTAGAATGAGTATCTAATTTTGACATAAAAGTAATTCAGAAGATTAATTATGCATATATTATTTATTTATTCGTTTCTATAAATTACGAAGCTTATGAAAAAGGCTTCAATCTTAAAATAATATTTGATTTAATTAAAGAATCCGACCACTTGGACTTTTGTCTAATTTATTGTGAGTGATTAGTTAAGGACCACAAAGAAGATATATAGCCAATAAAATAATTCTTACAAGTTAAACTCACTAATAAAATAATATTAAAGCAACAAAACCCACTACTTAATTATCTAAATCTTTTTATACCGATGACAATCAGTGACAGAATATAAGAGTGACTAGTGGAGGTCTCCCAAAATTTTAAAAAATATATATATAATTTAGACTTTTAAAGTTTAAAAAAAATTAATTTGGCCCTAAAAATTTTAGAAATTCAAATTAAATTTTAAATTCTTTTGAATGTTCTTAATTAAATACCTCCCATAATTTTTAAAAAAAAATCATTAAGCCTTATATTTTTTGAAAAATGCAAACTAAATCCTTCAAAAAATTTAAACAAATTAATTTAAATCTATAAAATTTGTAAAATTTTAAGTTGGTCCCTCAAATTTTATCATCAAATTCTGCAACTGATGACGATTAATTAAGATCGTACAATGGTGACAACATGCCTACACTAGTTATTACAAAACTAACCGTGTTTGGTTTTTATTTTGTTTTTGGATTGAATTTCTTAATCTTGGTAGGTGTGTTGAAGCTTTAACGTATTGGAACAGCTTATCTTGTTTGACTAGTAAATTCATTGTTAAAAAAAACATTTTTTTTTAAATTTTAAGGTTAAAGTCATCTTTAATCATTGAAAGTTAAGTTTTCTTTGACATATACAGATATTGATGGAAGGGTGTTGAGGATCAAATTTTTTAAAAGTTGGTATCTTTTTAAATTTTCAATATAATATTTTTGAAAATGTATATTTTAACATAAAATCTGATATCCATCTTTAAATATAAATAATAATATCAATTAAGTGTTGAAGTTTTAAATTTGAGTCTCGAGTTTTGTAGTGAATAATTTTGATGTATATTGATAATTAGGATTATATTAAATCCACTTAATTAATTTAGTCAAATATGTCATTATAATTAGTTTTGGTGTCAATTTCATACATGATAATCAATTATCTTTGAACATATATTATTTTGTACTTACTTCAGTTTAATCAAAAATATATATAGACATTAAATTCTAGGTAACAAACATGTATCTCGAACTTAACGACCCGAAAACTTTCGCATCCATCACATTTCTGGGGTTAAATTATGAAAAAAATATATTGATTAATCTAAGTAAGTACAAGACAATATTTATTTAAATATAACTCTCAGTCATTTGACATTGAGTGTTCACATCTCTGATATTTCTAGGGTTAAATTACAATTTCTTTATTATGACGTATCTTGGTTTGTGTTTAAATTATGAATTTATAAATGAAGATTGCTTTGCCTGGAAAATGTTAGAGATGCATTACCAATGCGAATAAATAAACAATTCTGATTAATTGTTAAGCACGGCCTTATCTAGTTTATCTAAACAATTCAATGAATTCCGTACATTTACAGGCCAAGAAAAGGTAAAATTATGATTTTCGTCCCTTTTAGTGTATTTACATTGGGATTTAGTCCATACAATTTATTTTGAGAAAATTTAATGCTCCTATATTATTATTATACTTTAGTCCATTATCATTGACATCGTTACAAGTTTTCATTAGTCGGTTGATGTTAAATAAAATAAAGTCCAAATCATTAATCGTATGTGATTTTTCTATAAAATAAGTATGAATCGAATCGAATCGAGTAAAAAAAATTCGAGTTAGTTGAGTTATCTAATCCTATTTTATAACTCAAACTTATTTGAAATTTTTCGAATCAAATTCATGAAATATGAGTCGAGTCGAGTTGTTTGAGTTTTTGTTTAAATTTAATTATAAATATTTATAATGTTATGGTACTAATTGATTCCAATTTTAAAAACTTTCTATAACCATATATGATATACATATATATTTCATTATATTTTTCATATATGATATATTATATCTTAAAGAGTTTAATTGAAAATTAATCCATTAATTACTAAAAAAATTGAGTTATTCAAATCCTTTTTTATAATTCAAACTTTATTTATAATTTTTTTGAGTCGAATCGAATAAAAATAATTGACATTTTCAAATCAAGTCGAATTTTATTCACCTCTATCTAAAAACTTAAAAAAGACGACAAAATGTTAGAAGACATCCAAGAGGCATATGTCCAATTCTTCGATGAGTTTGAGTTTAATTAAACGTGTGAATTATTCGAATCAGATATTATAATTCTCAAATTCAACTAGTTCGGGATTCGAGATAACAATTTAACTAGACCTTGGAAACTTTCATAACGATGAAATTTACAGTTACAAAAGGAGACAAACTTATAGAACTCTTTGATCAATGGATGTGATTTTAGGGAAATTTGAAGTCTAATGAATAAAGCTGTCCCGTGAGAGAAATGAATCCACTCTATCAACCCATTGATTAATGGTGGAATTGGTTTCCCCAATTGAAGATTTGTTGGGTTCTTGGTTCAACCATGAGTCTAAATCAAAGCTATCACATAACATTTGGTAGTCGTTGAATAGATCATTCGTTTCTTCGAAATTCAATTTGATCTCCTCCGGTTTCTCATCGTCCTTTCTCGGAGAAACTCCGGTCACGCCCCGTCGGTCGTCATCGTCCGGCTTACTTGACGAATCCCCTTCGGTTTTCTTGATAGGCTTGTGTGTCACGGGGTTTAACCCTAGGAGCTTTAACTTCTTCTTGATCTTAGTATTCCAATGATTCTTGATCTCGTTATCGGTTCGGCCCGGAAAATACGACGCGATCTTCGACCACCTTGAAAACGATCATCTTCCGTGTTAGAATAGGCCGGCCGGCAGCAATATAAACCGGTCATGTCACGAATGATAAAGATATCGATGTTTACCTATTCCCGAGACACGAATGGAGTTGAATAATCTGATCCTCCTCGGATTCGGTAAACGCCTCTCTCTTAAGGTCTGGTCTCAGATAATTAATCCATCTTAATCTGCAACTTTTACCACATCGCAACAACCCTGCAACCAATGCCAACACCATTAAACGAAACTTGTAATAATCACAATAACATCCGTTATGCCATCATCCACACCAGAAGTTACCTGCAAGCTGGGGGACAGTTCGCCAGCAACGTATACCTTGGTTGAGTATAAAGTTCATCAACTTATGATCTTCCTCGATCGTCCACGGCCCGCGCTTTAAACCAACCTTATCGCAACATGGTTGCCGTCCCATTTTCCGATGAACTCAGAGGCGGAAAAGACAGTCACAAAGGTGGTTAAAAATGGCGAACTCTGATCTCTTACTTGAAGAGGATGAAAATGATGAGAATATATAACAAACAAAAAACGTGGGTGGTCTTCGTTGACAAATTAAACCCTAATTTTCATTGAGTTTTATTTCATTTAAATATAAATGAAAGAGAAAAATTCAAAGAGAGATTCCATGGGGATGAAGCTGGCCAGTTTTGTCGTTGGGGACAACTTCATCATCTGTAAGGGAGAGTTAAAAAGAGATCCTTTCGTTTCTTAAGTTGCCTGCTACAAGTTTGAGTTTTGTCCCTTGACAAATGAGTCAATGTGAACGAGTTACTGACAAAAAAATGGTTAAATTAATTTAATTTAGCTAGGAAGTGGTACAATAATCTCTTAGGCCATTCTCGGTTTTGAAATTGAACCGATTGGTCCCTCTAAAAAAATCATTGTTATCTAAAAGATAGCAATTAAAGACGGTTAAAGCTTGTGATCTAAATTTTATTTGGTCCATACCGAAAAGATTGCGAAGCGACCCATTTGGTGAAAAATAAATTAGAAGAAAAAAAATATGTTGTTGATGTAGAGACTCTCGAGCCGTAGCTCACTACTAATCTCGACGGGGTATGAGAACGAAGCTCATACAATATGGTACAATTTTATTCAACTACAGTTATTATGTTTGTATAACTATACTCCTGACTCAATAAGATATGCAGAGACGGACGCATGATATTATATTAAAAGGGGTGAATTTACAAAATTTTAAAGGAGATATAAACTTATATAATTTTTAGGGACAAAAACATATTTTCAATAGAAAATATAAAAATATATATAATTTATCCGATTTTAAAATTAAGGAAGACCTAATAAGTCAAAAAGACTTATTTTTACTCTCTTTTGAGGATTAACTTAAAGGTTAGCTCCATTCAACAGCTAATTGACAAAGTATCGAAGACTTAAACACTAATCATCTTACTTCTTATACAAGAAACTTCAAAGCTTATATATATATATATATATAAAGGAAATGATGGACTTGACTTGGTTTAATATTCCCTATAATAAATATAGTTCTCCATTTCAGCCTCTTGATCTTGTCATCAATGATTCCCTCCATGTAATCATTTCTTATATATATATATGGTATAATGTCAAAAATAATCCTCAAATTTATCAAAATGATCATTTTGGCCCATATTCTTTTTTAGCATTTTGGCCCTCAACTTTTTACTTTGAGACAAAAAGCTCCCTCTGTAGATGAAAATTATTAGATAATATACGATTAATGTTCCAAAATAGGAGAATTTTTAACCTAAAATGAAATGTTGAGGGTTAAAATGCCTGGAAAAAAAAAAGAATAAGGGATAATGTGATTATTTGATCAAATATTAGGGGCTTTTTTGCCTTAAAATAAAATGTTGAGGGCCAAATGCTTCAAAAAATAGAACATGAGACAAAATGACCATTTTAATAAACGTTGAGAACTAATTTTGATATTATGACTCTCTCTCTATATATATAAAGGTAAAGAAAGAACAGACGATAAGGAAAGTATATAAGGAACAGACAGGGACGTGAGGCCGGTGAAATGATAATAGAAGACAACATGGACACGAGAACTTTTTAAATTTTTAATAATTTATTTTCATTTAATTTTTAAGCAATGTCAAGAGTTTGAATTTTGACGTCAGGGAATGGAACAAATTTAATTAGGAGGATCGCCTTTTTTATAATATCCAATTTAGATTAATCGATAGATCTAATATCGATAATTATGCCAAAAAAATACATAAAAAATGGATTCGGTTTAATGGGAGTCCTCCTTAACACACAAGTAAAAATAAAATAAAATCGAAGGATTGTCATATCTTTAGGTTCATGCATATCCAAAGTTATGAATATTCCCTTTGATGCACAATAATTGATTTACAATTATTTTTTTATTTTGGGCTAAATGCTGGCTTTGTTGGGGTTTTACAAAACATTAAGCTTGAGTATCCTAACAATGATTGTTCTTTCTTTTGCTATTATAGTTGTTGATATTCGAATTTTTAAATCGAATTTGTGATAATGTAGAGAAATTCATGAAATATCTTCTTTTTGATAGTCAAATGGATTTTTAATAATTAGTGTTGTGGATTTAAAACAATTATCTGGTGAAGATCTTTTTATAAAATTCTTTTGAAGAGTAGAAAGTTCCCTCAACAAATAATTGTGTCGGTAAGATGTACGTGAGTTGTTAAAAAAGGTTTAGTTTTTTTTTTATTATTATTCATTTGCTCTATTACATGTCAAAAATAAGAGAAGGCACGGTCTACCCAAATGGCAAAAATTACGCTTTAAACCCTTTAGAGATTTAAAACTTATAAATATAATGGTAAGATTATATTTTTAACCCTAAAACGTAAAGAAAATCGAAATATTGTTAATATTTTATGATATAAGAATTGTAAAATAGGATTACATTAGGTTGGACTAAATTCAGATCTAAACATGAAAAAGATTATATCCTTAATGAATAATATCTATGAGACTCATCTAAACTCGATCAATCATCATCGACGATTACCTTGTGATCTTAAAGACAAAGGAGTCTGAAGACACTAGTTTTTTTCTCTCATTTGCTTATATTATTTATTATTATTATTATTATTATTATTATTATGTTATATTATTATTATTAAATAATAAATAATTTTATTTACATTTCAGGCCCAAACCTGAGGCCTGTTTTACAAATCCCGGAGCCCAAACATGGAGGCCCGATCAGGACAAAACCCAAACCCGATGGCCCAACAATGGCTCAGACCTAAATGGAAATCCTGAACCAATTTGGGGTTTCAGCTAGGGTTTCTCAACCCTATCCCAGCCGCCGCCGCTCCAAGCTTCCACGTCACAGCCGCCTCTCTAGCTTCCAAAAGGTCAACCGATGCTCCAATGCCAGGTGACCCAATCATCTGCTGCCAACGTTCTACGCTGCCACGCCGTTTTGTCGAAGACTCCAGAAATGCCACACAACCGCATATGTTGAAGATATTTGGTGAGTCACCACATAGTCCGGTGACTCACCGAGAAGCCCCTTTGTGACCAGTCCAAGATGAGCGTTGTGATGGTTTATAAAACCATCACCAAACCTGCAGAATAGGGAGGCGGCGAACAACCAACAGAGAGGAATCGGAGATAACAAAAATGGAGGCAACCAACGGACACGGGGAAACAGAGCAAGCAAGAATACGCACCAAACAGTACAAATAAGAGAGAAAATAAAAAAAAGAGAGAGAGATGAAGATAAACTTACTCTGATCATCGGAACCCCCCACAAACCACCGGAGAACCAAACCGTCGAAGGGAACAATCCTAGATTTACGACGTTTGGTAAGTTTTTAGGCCAAAATAACCTTAGATCGGGCTTTAGGGTAATCGGAGCTTTGATTTGGGGTAAATTGTAAATTTTTGGCCACCGTGACGGTGGTCGGCGGTGGTGGCCGGTGTCAGAGCGCGGCTGCCGACCGGTTCTCTCTCTCAGTTTGAGAGAGAGGCGAGAGAGAATGTTTAATTCTCTCTTTTAGAGAGAGAGAAAGAAGGAAGAAATGAGAAAGATTTGCCCAAGAGGGCCGGTTATAGGGTTTATATACCCTCATCAAAACGACACCGTTTTGATGAAGGGTATATGCGTAATTTAGGGGATGGTCCAATTATGTCCGCATTGTTCATAGTTTGTAATCTTTACGATTTAGTTACTGAAATCAATTTTAATAAGTTTTAATTTGGTCTTCTAATTTTATTAATTTATAATTTAGCCCAGGCCAGTATTTATATATTTTAGGATAAATAATATGTTTAGTCCTTCTAATTTTATTAATTAATATTTTAACCCCTAATCGCATGTTTTAATTTGTTTTAATTTAATGTACTAATTTAATATAATTTTATTTTAGTCACCAAATTAATAAATGGGTAAAATAATATGTTTAATCCCTATAATTTTAAATAATTAATTATGAATTAGGTATTTAATTTTTTTAGATTATAATTTAGTCACTAATTTTTAATATTTTCATTTATTATAAAGTTTTATTGCTTTTAAATATATAGTTCTAATTTTATTATTGTTTATTTATGTCTTAATTTTACATGTTTATATATTTAAATATTATTGTTATTATTATTATATAGCCATATAAATATATATAATAAATAATACTTATTTACTTACTTTTACTTTATATATATAATTTAATTTTACATAAATTACTTTTTTTTAAAATCATATATTAATATTTATTTATTTTTCGATATTAAGAAAATAACAGTCTTAAAGCAACTAGATGTTCTATTCTAGTATTTTAAAAATAAATAAATATCCTACTTATAAAAACCATAAAACACATATTGTTTTATTTTATTAAGGAAAATTATTATTTTTAATATTTATTTAAATATTAAGAAAGGACGGTCATAATATAACTGGATGTCCATTTTCTGGTATTTTTAAATAAATATTTTACTTTTTATAAATTGTATATATTAATCTATTTTTAATAAATGTTTTATTAATATTTATTTATTTATTTTTGAATATTTAGAAAAGAGATGTCTTAAAACATCTAGAAGCCCTTTTCTGATATTTCTAAATAAATAAATATCTTATTTATATTTAAATTAATATATTTTCATAAAAATAACAATATTATAAAATAAATATATCTTTGAATTTTTAAATTTATGATAATAGAGACAATTTATAATTAAAAAGTACCAATTTTGGGCGTTGTAGGGATGCTAATCCTTCCCTAAACGTAACCGACCATGAATCCCTTTTTATTATTAAAAAAAACAAATTTTTGGTTATAAACGCAGATCAGTTCATCTTTTAACTGATGTTTTCTTAAAAACTCTTTTAAAAGAGAATTTTTAGGTATTCGACCTACCTGACTCAAAAGGCCGATGAAGACTCCCAAATTATTTTAAAAAACATTTATTCACATCACTTTTCCCGCCAAAATAAAAATTTCGTACCCTGGCGAAAACCGGTTAC